GCGGCCGCCGCGGCGTGGAACCTGCCGCGCGGAAGGTGCGGAAGGTGGAGGGCGAGGGAGGACGAGAAACCGGTCCTGGGGAAGGGGTCCAGGCAGCTCGGGGCCGACGCTGCGGAGAGGTCACGACGCCAGGGGTCTGGGCCCAGAGTTGAGGCATTCTCGGGCGAAGGAAGTGGGTTTTCCTCCGGGCGCTTTCCTCAAACAGCAGTCTTGGTCCAGCTCTACGAGCACGAAGTGGGCTTTACTCCAGGCGCTTGCATCAAACAGCAGTCCTGGTCCAGCTCTACGAGCACGCTGCGAGAGAAACGAAGCTCCGAGAAAACGCCGAGGGCCCCGCGCAGATTCTTGATCTCTCAAGCGCAATCTGGAGCCGATGCACAACCATGCTTGTCTCAATATTTCTGATGGGTGTATAGAGGCCTCCTGGATGGGTCCGGAGTGTACGGGGTCGGAGGATCGCGCCGCATCGGCGATGCATCGCCGATGCAATGGCGATGCACCAGCGACGTCGGCGATGCATCGACGACGTCGGCGTGGAGGAAATCGGACTCCACATCGAGCCGCATCGCCGATACATCGGCGATTCCGCGCGATCCTCCGATCCTCATCTACTAGGACCCCATCTAGGAGGCCTAGAGTGTGCGAGGAGGGCGAGAAGGAGAATGAGAAGCAGTGGCAATGTCCCGCAAACCTACCCACCGGGGGCTGCCAACCAAACTGGAGGCAAGATTCTCACCCGTGACGATGTACGAGGAGGGCAAGGAGACGGAAAAAGCAGGGAGGCGGATGGAGGAGGGCGAAAAGGGGGTCTCCGAGACGCCCCACGAGGGCCCCAAGACGGCGACAAGACGCCCCCAAGACGGCCCAAGAGGCACCCAAGAGGGCCCCACGAAGGGCCCAGACGGGAGAACACAGACGGACATTTCGAGCCTTCCGCCCCAAGACTGCCCCAAGAGCCTCCCAGAAGCTCCCGAGGCCCTCCCAAGACGCCCCAAGAGGCCCCCAAGAGGCCCTCCAGAGGCCCCCCCAGAGGCCCGCGAGACCCCTCCAAGAGTCCGCCGAAAGGCATCCCAAGAGACCCTCATATGTCGGGGGCGCGCAAATATGGATTAGCGATCCATGGATTTGGCGCGCGGTCGCCAAATCCGATTCCCCATGGAAACGGGACCCGTCGCTAATCTTATGTTGTTCCCATCCTACTTAATGACGGCATCCCAGAAATAATTTCCAGCACCCGGAAAAGTGTCAAAAGAGTGTCGAAACAATGTCGACAGTGTCGGGCGAGTGTCTCCCAAGGCCCGACACGTGAAAATCCTTGAGTTTCGGTACTTATGTCTGGCGCTCGAAATTCTTTCTGGTGGTCAAGGCTAAAGTAGATTGGAGCATGATAACGCTAATCCACGCCCCCTTGATCCATGTTTGCGATCGCCTGAGTATGCATTCAAGAGGCCTCTGAACCACCGCCCAGGATGCACCAAAGGTACCACCGCCCAGGATGGATGCCAGGTGGATGCCGCCCAGGATGGACGCCAGGAGCCGCCAGGATGGACGCCAGGATGCCGCTGCGGCCTCTGAACCACCGCCCCAGGCGGATGCCAGCTGAGGCTGGGGCCCCCGCGCTGCACTTAAGATTCTAGGTCGTGCCTGCGGGCGTGCAGGCCTTGCGGGCGAGACGCCGGAAGGCCGGAGGAGCACCTGGGGGCCCATCCCGCGGGGGCAATGGAATGGACACCATTTCGGCCTCGAGCCCAAATCGCAACGGAACAAGGAGGACGAGGAGGAGGAGGAGGAGGAGGACGAGGAGGAAGAAGAGGAGGAAGAGGAGGAAGAGGAGGACGATGATGATGATGATGATGATGATGATGATGATGATGAGGAGGAGGAGGAGGAGGAGGAGGAGGAGGAGGAGGAGGAGGAGGAGGAGGAGGAGCTCACCTCATCGGAAGGAAACGGGTGCCGAGGGGCACGAGTCCTGGCCTCGACCCCGCGGCCTCCCCCCCCGGGCAGCAGCTCCTCGCCCCGGGCCCTTCCGTCGGCGGCCCCGGGCCGGGCGGAGGGCCCCCCCGGGAGCCAGGCAGCGGTGGCAGACGGCAGGACGCGGGGCCCAGATGGTCTGGTACCGGAAATTTTCGGCAGCGACTTCGACGCACCCCGAATTTCGGTCGCGACCGGATCTTCGTTTGAGGGCGTTGGAACAGCGGATTTCAGAACGGTCCGATACCGGTATCGGGCGCTACATTTCGGTATTTCGGCAGCGACCGATCTCTGCGGAGCGCTACCGGAAATTTTCGGTAGCGGACCATCAGGGGGGGGGGAGAGAAGGCCTTCCCTGAGATCCTGGCGCTGCCATTGCTTCACAGCGGGCGTTGTCGCCTCCTTCGGGCCCCGCGGGGCCCTCACGGATCGAGGCGGCTCGAGAAGTGACGCGGAAACGTGGGGTCTAGGGCTCCGGGCGTGACTTTCTCGATGTTGCAACTTTTTCGCTACGTCGGATCTCAGGGTTCTCAGAAGGCGGCGGGACTCCTCAAAGTCCCCGCGCCTTCTGAGAGGTTCCCTGTGTCTTCGAGGCAGGCCTCGAGGACTTCTCGGAAGGCCAGGGGGGGGTCCGAGCTTTTGGAAGAGGCTCGCCCCTTCTGTCCTCCCTGAGGTCCGACATGCACCATCGCAAAACAAATCGCGGCCCGAGCCCCGAACCCCATCTCTCTGCGTCGCTTCCCGAGCAAGATCTAATTATATGCGAGGGTCCCGGGGCCCAGAATGGAGCGACAACGACCGCTGCGAAAAAATTGCCACGCCAGGATCTCAGGGTTCCCAGACATCCGACGTCTCGACTTTTTCGAGACGCGGGCCCCCGACCTCCCGACCACTTCCCCGGGACCGGTTTTTCATCCCAAGCCGATTTTGGACGGTCACGAGGCCCGGCGAGGGCCCCGAGAGGCCGAAAACTCTGCAAAACCTCCGTCTCGATTTTTTCGAGACGCCCGATGTCCGGGCTCCCCCCCCGGGCTCGCCGCCGGGCTGCCCGGGCCCCTCTCTCTCCAATTCGAGACAGCCGGGCGCCCCGCTCGACGCGTGGGCCCCCCGGACCTCCTCGCGATATGCCTCCCCACGGCCGGCCTGTGCTCCCGGGCGGTGCGCTCCGTGCGTGCGCGCACGCCGGCTGTGGGGCGCCGACCCCCGGGGCATCTGCAGCACACTCTGCCCTCGCGGGAGGAGCTCTACCCAGACCCCCTCGAGTAATGAAAAAATCATGACGGGAGGTTTTTCCGAATTTTCGGCCTCCGGCGGCCCTCGCCGGGCCTCGGGAGCGTCAAAAAACGACTCAGGATGCCAAGCCGGTCATGGGGAACGGGTCGGGACCTCTGGGGGTCGACGTAATGAAAAAATCATTACGTCGGGGGTCTGGGTACCCAGACCCCCTCGAAGAATGAGACAATCGTGACGGGAGGCTCCTCGCCATTCCTCGGCATCCCGGGGCCGATCGCCGGTCAAAAACCGCCGCAGGATGAGAAGCCGGTCCCGGGGAACGGGTCGAGAGGCCTCTGGGGGTCGACGTTCTGCAAAAATCATGGCGTCGGGGGTCTGGGTCTGTGGGAAAGGTGCGGAAGCCCAACAGAGCCCAAGAGGCCCCCAAGAGAGCCCTAAGGAAGGCTCCAGAGCGTCAGCGTCGTCGCCGTCCCCTTCAGGGTCGGCGGCACTGGCCGCTAGGCCTTCCCAATCATGACGTCGGGGGCCAGCAGGAACCACTGCTGGGCAACCAATGCTCCAACTCTCCGTGCATGGCCCGCTTCGGACACATCTGCGCCAGACCCATTACTCCAGCGTAGAAGTTTGGAGTCCCGAGACGGTGCGGTGACAGACCGTGCGGTGACCTCGAAATCCCCAAAGACCTCACCGCACGGCCCGTCAACGCACGGTTTTGGGACCTCGGATGCCCCAGTCGCCCGAGAAACCTCGGAGAACGACCCGAGTCCCAAGACCGTGCGGTGACCCCGAATCCCCACCGACTCCCGAAGAATGTCTCCTCCTCCTCCTCCTCCTCCTCCTCCTCCTCCTCTTCCTCGATCCTCGATCCTCGATCCTCCTCCTCCTCCTCCTCCTCCTCCTCCTCCTCCTCCTCCTCCTCTCCTCTCCTCCTCCTCCTCCTCCTCCTCCTCCTCCTCCTCCTCCTCCTCCTCCTCCTCCTCCCGTCCCCCCCCCGGTCACCACCCCGTTTGGGGGCCCCCGAAGAATGCATGGGGAGAAAAGCCTTTGGTGCCCGCCCCAGGCGGCCTCTCCAGATCTCCGACGTCTTGATATTTTCGCAGCGGCGACCCCAGAGGAGGAGGAGGAGGAGGAGGAGGAGGAAGGAGGAGGAGGAGGAGGAAGAGGAGGAGGAGGAGGCGAGGAGGAGGAGGAGGAGGAGCAGAAGTCTCGACCCATTCCCCAGGACTGGTTTATCATCCAGAGTCGCCTTTATTGACAGTCGCAAGGTCTGGTAAGGTCCCCAGAGGGCCTTAGATAACAAAACACAAACACGTCCGTCGTGATTGCTCAATGACTCGAGGTGTCTGTTTGGACGCCCGAAATGGGTACGACAAAAAAGGGTATGATGCCCAACAACTAATGTTTTCCAAAACCGACAGCGGCCGCTGTTGGACAGGCGTCCTCCTGTCGCAAGTGGACAATGTCCGCAGCGACGCGGACAACGAATCCTGTTCAAAATGGTCAGGAACTGTTGTCGGTCTGCGTGCAAGTTTACTTGCATGGCGTTCGCACCCCCGCCTCGCCCCTCTTCACACAAGTACTAGCGTGCAAGTGCCTTTGGACTTGCGCGATTCCCACCGCCCCCCCCCCCGGGTGTGAGGGCAAGGAGCCGTTGGGGCATCAAATCGCTTTGCTTTCTCCAAATGAACTTGCATTGGAGTTCGAGCGACTCAAGCAGGTTCGGAGCGCCCCCCGCCCAGCTTGCCGCTGCGCGATGAAGCTCCCCTATGCCTTTTCCCAGAGTTGTTTTTGCTGTTGTTTTTCCTTCGTGGCCGCACCATCTCCGCCTGCCAGACAGAAGCTTCGCAGCTAATTATAGAGGTGAAGCTAAGCTTAGAAAGCCTAGGATTTGCTAGGGACTTGTTTCCTCCCAAAACGACGAAAACCCTTCCAAAACCATCCGAAAACCACCCCGGAGCCCTTCCCAGAGGGTTTTCGGAGGGTTTCTGGAGGGCTTCGGCTGCTTCGAAAGGAAACCAGAAACCAGTACCTGACGAACCCTGGACTTTCTGAAGCTAAGCGCCTGCTCGCTACACTGTGCTATGCTCGATGCCGGCGCTGGCGCCTGCGCCGAAACCGCACCACAGGAGCAAACTCTGACGACGGCCGCTCCCCGCGCACAGCGCGGCGGCCACCGGCGGCACCGGACGGGCGCGGCAGGCGACCATGCACGGCCGCCGCCGCTCGGGCTGGCACGGCTGCTCAATCTGCACCCGCACGATGCAAGGGGGCTCGAGGGTGAGGACTAGGACGGAGGAGGAGGAGGAGGAGGAGGAGGAGGCGGAGGAGGAGGGGGAGGAGGATGAGGAGGGGGGGGAGGGGGGAGGGGGAGGGGGGGGAGGGTGGAGGAGGAGGAGGAGGAGGAGGAGGAGGAGGAGGAGGAGGAGGAGGAGAGGAGGAGGAGGAGGAGGAGGAGGAGGAGAGGAGAGAGGAGGAGGAGGAGGAGGAGAGGAGGAGGAGAGGGAGGAGGAGGAGGAGGAGGAGGGAGGAGGAGGAGGAGGAGGAGGAGGAGGAGGAGGAGGAGGAGGAGGAAGCGTCAATCTGCACCCGCACGCTGTCGGCGGGCACTCTGAGAACGCCAAGGCTGGCCAGGCTTGGGGTGCCATGCGCTGCACAGGGGAAGGGAGCGAGGGAGGCAAGGCCGCACGACTGGAGCGAGGGGGAATCCCACCGGCCCTCTGGGCGTCGGTGGTTTCGCGAGTTCTGCTTCATCGCTGCCGAAGATCCAAAGATAGGGAGACGAACTCTATACACCGACGCTTGTCCCGACCATGCGCTGAAATTCGCACAGGAACGCGGATTATGGTGTATACGGGATCCTAGCGTATATATTTTTCGCTGTTTCCCCTGGAAGCCGGAGAACAAAGTATACACCACACCACCCCGACGTCGTCTCCGACTCTCAAAAAAAGTCCTGGGATTGAAAAACCACCCGCCACTGGTAATGTATATGCTCCAGTTTCCGAAAACATGTCCTGACTCGTTCAGGCCGTGCAAGCCGCTACGAAAGCGTGGTCATAGAGCACCGGTCGAAGCATCATCATCTTCAAGCAAACCAGAACCTTTGAAGAATCCCTGGGCTTCGAAATTCCGCAACTGCGCCATGAAGTTCTCGTTGGGCTGCGCCATCTGACGGCACCTTTGAATCTCACTCAAGACGAGGTCCACTGGATCCACCTCATCCGTTTCCACATGAGTCCCAGTCTGATGATCAAGCCGTCTAGAACGATTAAAGAGCGCGAGTAAGTAACCCACGCAGAGCGTTGTAGATCTGGATCTGCCTTGCGCACAGTGCACGAGGACACTGAAGCCGCTTCTTAGTGTCCGATGAATGTAGCGGATGGCTTCTCTGAAGGTGGAGCCTCCCTCCTGAAAAGACTCCGAACCATCAGCCTCAATCAACTGCTGTGTCTCTGAGTCAACCCACGGGCATTCGAAGAGAGAAATTCCTAGCTTGTCTTGAGCGGCTCGCACAGCTGATGGGTATTTCACAAAAAAAGAGCCCAAGTCTCTCGCAGTGTTAATGATTGTCTTCACCCCGTTGCGCTCGAGGTAGGCTAGATTGAAGACGCAGCGGAAGCCGCCAAGCAATAGTTTGCCCGATGACGGTGGTAGCCCACCACCCGATATTGACATGATCGCTGGAGTGAGATCGCTGGCCTCTTTATCGCAAGCGTATTCGATTGCCTCCAAAAGATGTTGGTCGGATTTTACAGCGTACCGGTGATACCGCACCATCTTGACCCCATCTTCACCCATGTCTCTCTTGAAGCGATTCGGCCGAAACACCGGGTTCGGATGGCTGCCCTCAAAGGTGAGCTGCGAGCCGGCTGTGACGCCGTGGCCCTCGCGCCCTGCCTCGACCATCCCCCGGGACAGCTCCCGCAGGCGAGCGTGCAGGGCCTCCACCGCGGGGGCCGCCGTGGCCAGGTCCGCCAGCCGGGGGTCGGCCAGGACGTCGGACCGGTAGGCCTCGAAGGCGGGGTCCCGCGCCCGCGAGGGGGCCGCCATGCGCCCTGCGGGCCCCCCGCGGGCGGGCGGCGGCGGCGCGAGCGGGGCCCGCCGCGGGGGCGCCGCGGTCGCCGGGGGCCTCGCGCCCACTGCCGCCTGGCCCTGCCCCGACGAGGACGCCCGCCCGACCTCTCCAGCGGAGGCACCCTGGGCCAAAATGGCTACGCCATGATCTTTCCCCGAGGGATTGTTCGTCAGTGCGTTTCCCCATCGTTCTCCGATCGGTTCTCAGTGGTCTCCCACTGGTGTTTCAATGGTTGGCGAGTGGTTTCCCAACGGCGTTCCAATGATTTCTCGATGGCTTTCCAATGTGGGCCCCAAATAGTGCCTCATGGTTTCCCGAGGCGTTTTGATTGCATGCGCTTGCACCTGCTCGCATCTGCATGTTGCTTGCATCTGCGTGTCTTCCATGTTGCTCGTCTTTGCATTTGCCCTCATGTTGTGTGCATGTGCTCGCGTTTGCCATTGCACTAGCATGCACGTTGCGTGCTGGTTGTCAATGGTTGGTGCCGCACGCGTTGCTGCCCTGTGGTCGGCGCATCCTGGTGAGCACTCTATGGTTGCTACCCTTTGGTTCGCTATGGTTGGGACCCTTTGGTTGGTGCCCCGTTGCTGGTGCCTGGTTTTTAGTGTCCTACGGCTTGGTACTATATGGTAGGCACAACTGATGTATGGCGACACGGTGCTCTTCACAAAGAAGCTCCAGGAGCAGGATGGATACAGCGTCCTCGTGGAACCTAGGGGGGTGCATCATGGGATACCTGACGCCGGGAAGTAATCGAAGCTGCCCATGCGGCGCACCCATGGCAAACCCTGCGGGCGTCTTCGATTTTCGAGCGATTCCACTTGCACTTGCGTCGGCGTCGGCGTGGAACGGCCCCAAGAGAGCCCAATATAGCCCCAAGACGGCCTCCAATACGGTCCCGGGATGCCTCCCAAACCACCAAGCTGATCCAAGAGAGCCGAAGACAGCCCAAGAAACGCTCAGGAGGCCCCTGAGACGGCCCAAGAGGCCTGAGGTCCTCCAGAAAAGCCCGCAAAGACCAAAGTCATCGAAGCCATCGATTTGCCGTGGGCTTTTTTGCAAGACTTTGACATGTGCTTCAAAACTGCCTTCCGACTGCCAAAGACGGCCCAAGAGGCCCCAAATATTGCCGCAAGATCGCCCAAGATGGCCGCAGGACAGCCCAAGAGGTTCCCAAGACGGCCTCCAAAGAGCCTCAAGACGGCCCAAGACGGCCCAAGGCGTCCAAGATGGCCTTGAAAACGACCCTGCAACGCCCCAAGAAGGCCCAAGTCGACCCAGTCAGATCAGAGAACGGATGGATTTCTGCTACGTATGGGGCCATGAGGGCCAGGCGGACAGCGACAACGACGACGAGGGCGACGAGGACGAGGGGGAGGAGTAAGAAGACGACGACGACGAGGGGGTGGAGGGCCAGACCCCCATCCGTCCTATCGGCTCAGGCCAAAAGCAAGGGGAGAAGGACGAAACGCATCGGAGTCGCATTGGAGCCATATTGACACAATCTTGGAGTCACATGGGGCTGAACGAAATCATCTCTGGGTAATCTCGAAGTCGTCTCGGACTCATGGGGTCGTTCTGGAGCCACCTCGGAGTAAAATAGGGGTCACGCGGTAGCCTTTGTTCACTCGGGAGATCATGGGTTCGTCTCGGTGTTCTCTTGGAGCCGCAGGGTTGCTCTGGGGTCATATTGGGCCCATTGCTTAGCAGGGGTGGGCATCTTGTGGCGGCAGGGGTAATCTCGTGATCATTTCAAAACCCTGTTGGTCCATCTTGGGATCATCTCTCCGTTGCTGCTTCTCTCGTTGTTGTTGCTGCAGATGTTGCTGCTGCTGCTGCTGCTGCTGACGTTGATGCTGCTGGTGCTGCCTGGGCTGTCCGTGGTGCTGGTGCTGGCGCCGTGATAAATTTCGGACCCTCTTGGAGCCATCTTGGGGCCCTCTTGTGGCCCTCGTGGGCCTCTTGGGACGACCTTCTGAGAGCCCTTAAGTCGCCTCCGAGAGGGCCAAGAATTCAACGCACACTTAAGACAGACCGCCTCCTTGTTGGAGAGCGTCTTGTTAAATGTATGTTTAACATGTTGTCCCTCTTGGAGCCATCTTGGGGCTCTCTTGGGACTCTCTTGGGGCCCTCTTGGGCCTTCTTGGGTCCCTGCGGGAGTCCTCTGAGGGCCCTGAGAGGCCTCCAGGACGACTGGGAATTCAACACACTTAAAAATAAACCGCCTCCTTATTGGAGAGCGTCTTGTGTTAAATGTACCCCAAGAAGGCCCAAGAGAGACCCAAGAAGGGCCCAATATAGATTGTTGTTTAGCTTCCACGCGGGGGGGGGACAATGTATCCGCTGTTTGTACAACTGCTTCTTTTTGCGGGGCTCAGCTTGAGGTTCGGGGGGCCTTCAGGAGGGTTCCAGCCTGAGGTATCCAAAGACTTCGCGTGAGCTTTGAGTGCGATTGCGCTGCTCCAAGACGGCCCCAGAGCGCTCCAAGACGCTCGCAATGTCTTCAAGACGGCCAAAGAGACCCTGCAGACGCCCCCGGGGGGCTCCAAGAGGACCCCATCGGGGGCTCCACGAAGCCAGAACCATAGTTTTGATGGTTTTATGAAGGACCTTCAGCGTTCTCGCTTTTTCCGGGTTGCAACGCTCCAAGGCGACCCAAGAGGCCGCCAAGATCACCCCAAGACGGCCTGAGAGGCCACCGAAGAGGGCCCCGAAACGACCCACGATGGCACCAAGACGACCCATGAGGCCCGCAATGCGACCCAAGAAGCCCCAAGGACGGCCCCAAGAGGGGACCCAGGGGGCCACCGGAACTCACGTTGCGAGATTTTGTCCATCAGGATCGCCTCTTGTGAAGCGGCGTGGGGGCATGCGGAGAGCCTTCGCAAGTAGACGCGGCGCCGGGGTCACCATGTATCCGAACTTTGTACAAATTCGTGCATGTCTGAGGCGATCGCCGAGCCTCTTGGGAGCCCTTTTGAGGGCCTCTTGGGGCCTGCTGGGGTTTCTTGGGCTCTGATAAGGGGCCTCTTGGGCTCCTCTTGAGGTCAGTTGAAAGTTCTTGGGGGCTTATTAAGGCGTCTTGTGGGGTCCTTTGAGGGCCTGCTGGGGCCCCACGAGGGCCCCGAGAAGACTCCAAGAAAGTCCCGACAAATGTCTGGATCCGCCGGAGATGCTGCAAAACCATCTCTGGGTGACCCGGAGATCTCTGGGGCCCCTCTTGGAGCTTTCTAGGGGGGCTCCAAGACGGCTTGGGAGCGCTCACCCAAGAGGGCCCCGAGAAAACTCCAAGAAGGTCCCGAAAAGTCTCCGTGCCACCCGGAAATGCTGGGGCCCTCTTGGAGCGTTCTTGGGGGCTCCAAGACGGTGGTGGGGAGGGCAGGAGAGGGGGGGGGATTTCCTGGAGATGCGGACGCGGAGGTGGCAGCTTTTGGGGGCCTGATGGGGGCCTCTCGGGCGCCTCTTGAAGTCAGAGGGGGTTTCTGGGAAGCCTCTCAAGGCCTCCTGGGGGTCCTGTGGCACCCTTGCGGCGTCTTGGGGGCTTCTCGGGGGTGTCTTGGTACCCTCTCGGGAGGCCGAAAAGCGATGTTGTTGTTGCTGCTGCCTCTGTTGTTGTTACTGCTGTTGGTGCTGTTGTAGTCGTTGTGTTTGTAGTTGCAGTTGTAGTTGTAGTTCTAATTGTTTGTGCTGCTGTTGTCGTCGTTGTTGTCGTTTGTTGTAGTTTTGTTTGTTGTTGTTGCTGTTGTTGTTGATGTTGTTGTTGTTGTTGTTGAACACTATTACTTCTAAAGAATTATTATTGTTGGACCCCCTGGTGCACGCCCCCCGCCCAAAACCTAGGCCGCAGCTACATTTTCATCATTTTTCTGCGAAAGCTTCAGAAAAGTGGATTACCCCCGGATCCGGTTTTTTGTTGACGCTCGTTTTCCCTTGCAAAAAACAATAGAAAATGAAAATTCTTGTTCTTAGTTGATCAAATTTCAAGAATCCCTTGCAAAAAATAAGGTAAAGTGGACATTCGCGCTCGCAAGACGAAATCCTTCCAAAACCTTAGGTTTCGTAGCGATTTTAACATAAAAACATCAAAAACCCAATGGTTTTTTAAGAAAAAATTGTCAAAATGTCCTTCCGCGCGCTCTTGCGGATTCATAGGAAACACACCACTTTTTAAACATTTCTGTCAAAAGGGTCTTTGCGTGCTACTTCTTCAGGTGCTTTGAACTTCTCCAACAACGGTTGCGCGCCTGCGAGGGCCACCATCCCTTGCAAAAAATGAGACGAAGTGCACATGCGCGCGGCCGCCGCGCGCGCATGTCGAAATCCTGCCAAACACAATGGGTTTTCAATAATTTCAAGATGCGATGTTCAGAAAACATATGAAAACGCACTACTTTCTCATCCGAAAAATCTCGAAATCCATTCGCGGTCTCTTGATGAATCTTTAAAACCCAAGATGGCCCCAACAGGCGCGCAAGATGGCCCCAAGAGGCGTCCATGAGGCCCAAAGAGGCGCCCAAGATGGTCCCAAGAGGCTTCAAGAGGACTCCAAGAGGCCCCCAAGAGGTTCCAGAGAGGCTCCAAGGTGGCTCCAAGAGACCCCCAAGATGGCCCCAGGAGGCGTTCTAGAGGCCCCAAGAGTCCGCCGTGAGGGTCCAATAAGCCCCCAAGAGGCCCCAAGATGGTTCCAAGGAGCCCCCCAAAGGCTCTCAAGTGGACCCCAAACCGCGCCAGGAGGCTTCCCCCCTTCCCCAAGAGGGTCAGCTCGCTATTCCCATTCATGCGGAGATCGTATCCGGCCTCTCCTACAGGGCCCTGGCCACCTTGGACGTATTCATTGCGTACCACGCGGCCTTCATGGGTACGGACCCGCAGAAAATGGCCCTTTGGAACGTATCCCCTGAGGTCGGCACAGAGATCACGTATCCGCGTCAAGACCAGTGGTGGTGGTTGCCCGTATGGCGGTCGTATGGTCAGAGCGACGAGCTTCCGAACATGCTCGATTACCAGGCCTTGCCACCGCAGGTCCACAACGTGCTCGCGGTAGCACTGCCGTATGCAAGCACCGGCCTTCCCGCCAGCAGGCGTATCGGCAATCTCATTGGGCATCTGGGACCGCACGGGTATCAGCCAGGCCCGCA